ATTTTCCTTATTCTAAACATTGAATCATGGTCTGGAGTTTTTTTTCATTTCCAGATTACAAAAGAATTTATCCATACTTTCTTTTCTGCTAGTACTTATATGGTTTCATTTTAGATTTCCAGATTAGAGATGCTCAGCCATTAAAGTCTAGGTATATATTACAGTCTGGTCTCTTACAAAGCCACTGGCATTAAATTATAGGGTCCACCCTGATGACCTCATCTAATCCTAATCAATCTGCAAAACCACCAGGAGCAGCAGGGGTACAAACCTGTGTTCCTAGCTACTCTGGAGGTGGAGGTGCACATCAGCCATTAAGTCTAGGCATATAATCCATTTACATTTAGGTCTTTGATTCATTTGAAATTCTTTTAGAGTTTGCATAATGAATTCAAATCTGCCTCTGGCATAGAGATTTTTTTTTTTTTCTCCCCTGCAAGGTACTGGGGATTGAACCCAGGGGCACTTAACCACTCAGCTGTATCCCCAGCCCAGGGTCTTACTGAGTTGTCCAGACTGGCCTTGAACTTGGGATCCTCCTCCTTTAGCCTTCTAAGTAGCTGGGATTACAGATGTTCGCCATGGTGCCCAGCTTAGTATTTTGTTTTAATTTTGGTAAGATTGACTCTCTCTTTTTTTCTTTGCAGGGATTCTGTCTTCCTTTGTTTGTTCATGTTTATAAAGTAAGTTCATAATTAGCTTGTCTAACTTGAAAAATTTAATATTTTTATTGATACCACATTAAATTTAACTTGGGGAGAACTGACATATACTTAAGATGAAAAATCTTATTATCTGAGAACATGATACATCTTTCCATTTGTACAGTTCTGCTTTTTTGCCTTTCAAGAGAATGTTTTTGCATTTTTATGCAAGTTTTTTATTTTTTTGGTTGAGACAGTTTCTAACTATGCTACCCAGACTGCTCTCAAACTCTTGAGCTCAAACAGTCCTCCCACCTCCACTTCTAGAGTAGCTAGGAACACAGGTTTGTACCCCTGTTGCTCCTGGCAGTTTTGCAGATTGATTAGGATTAGATGAGGTCATCAGGGTGGACCCCTATAATTTAATACATGTGGCTTTGTAAGAGATCAGACATACTCATAAGGAATTATCCATACATACTCATAAGGAATTATCATACTCATAAGGAATTATCCATTCTCCTCTGATTATTTTTAATATACTTAATTTTTATCAAATGTCTTTTAGTATCTAAAAAAAACCAGCAATTTCCCTTCTAAGCTCTATTACTCTGAAGAATTATATTAATGGATCTACTAATATTGAACTACCCTTGCATTCCTGGAATAAACAACACTTAGTCCCTGTTAACACCCAGGGTGGCCTAGATTAAGGTGTGGTAACAAATAGCCCCCAACCTTAGGAGCTTACAAGCATTTATTTCTTGTTCATGCTACATGTCATACAGTGGGTCAGCTGTTCCTGAACTCAAGGCCTTTGAGTAGCTGCCATCTGAAACATTACCTATTAAGGAAGAAGGAAAAGATGATATTATGAACCAAGGGTTCTCCCTTAACTTTTGCTTAGAAATCATGTCACTTCTACTCACAGAACAAATTACATGTCACACCTATAAGTTCAACAAGGCAGGGATGTATAATCCTCCACAGGAATGAGCAATGCAAAGAAGAAGAACCAGAATATTCTGTGAAAAACAATACAGTGTACCACTTATATGTCATTGGGCTTTAATATTTTATTTAGAATTCTTCCATCAACTTTCATAGGGGAAATCACTCTGTTTATATAGTTTCTCACTTGGTAAAAATAACTTGGACATAAAAGTAAGACTGCAAGGTAATTGACACATAGTAACTAATGTTAAGTATTTTGCCAGGCCCAGTGGCATGCCTGTAATCCCAGCAGCTCAGGAGGCTGAGGCAGGAGGACCAGCAAAAGCGAGACACTAAGCAACTCAGTGACACCCTGTCTGTAAATAAAATACAAAACAGGGCTGGGGAGGTAGTGCCCCTGACTTAAATCCCCAGTACACCCCCTCCAAAAAAAGTATCTTGATGGCTTATTGTTGAATAATAATAAAAGCCTTTTGATATTATACTACATCTAAATTAAAATATTTTCCTTTTAAAAAGAAAAAAAAAAAAGTCCCTTTGGAAAATTTCTCCTGGAAAGAAGAGGGGAAAAAATGAAGGAATTTAGGAATGAAAAATACCTTCTCCTGAAAAGCGAAATTTCACTGACCTGCACCCAACATGTGTCTTAGGAGTATGTTTTTAATATTTGTCACTTGCCACTTTCCTACCCTGGCTGGTAAAATGTGAGTTTCTCCGCACACATTCCAGACAGTACTTTCTACTGAGCAACTGTGCTAAAGTTGGCCAAAGGACATGCCTGAACGGAGCAGCTTACTAAAGAGGCAAGAATCTTCCTGTGGGAGTAGCCTGGAGGTTTTCCTATCAGCCTCTGCCCCCTGAAATCCCCCACCCTACCAAGTCTATGAGCCTCCTGTGTAAACAGCAGCTTTTGCCTGGGCATCCAACAAGCAAACATTGCCTCACCTGTAAGGCAGGCGATTTGTTAATGTTTATTCATATTTTTCATATAGATAAACCAAACTGAAAACAAGTAGTCCAATGGCCTAAGGCCACTTCCAGAGCTGCTTGCTTCCTCAAAGTCCCCTGGAGCACTGCTGCTTGAGTTTTTCCTTACCTTTCCCATAGCAAAGGACACCATGCATCAAGTTCTGGCTGTTTCCCATATAAGTAATTTAGTTCAGCTTCATCTTTGGTATATAACTTTACCAAAACTGGGCATAATAAAACCCTGTCTTAAGGTATTATCAAGTCCCTGGGTTAGTGAATAGAGAATATTCACTAATATTCACCTAATATTTGGAGGCGAAAGCCAGCTAATTCTAGAAAATGGAAACAAATGACAATGAAATTTGTGATAGTTATCTGAGTTCTACAGGTCCTGTTAGTACACATTCAGCACATTTCAGTCTCTGAAATCTTTATTAACAGTTAATAGAATACTTACTCCAAAATCTCTGACAGACACAAACTACATTCAAATGTTAACACTGGCATTCACATTATGGCCAACCTACCTTCCCAGCCTTTTCTTTTACTTTATCTACAGCTAACCTAAACACTGGCCAAACTGGAAGTCTTTCTTCTGAGACATAGCTCCTGCCTGCCTCCGTGGGTGGTTTGTGTGTGTGTGTGTGTGTGTGTGTGTTTTTGTGGGTTTTTTAATATTTATTTTTTAGCTTTAGGTGGACACAATATCTTTATTTTTATGTGGTGCTGAGGATCGAACCCAGTACCTCACGCATGCCAGGCAAGCATGCTACCACTTGAGCCACATCCCCAGCCCTCCTTGGGCGTTTTTGTTCTTGCTGTTTTTCCCAGCGGAAGGCACTCTCCATCATGTCTGCTTATCAAAACCTATAAGAGTTCAAGGCCAATTGGGACACTGTTCCACACATCTATAATTCTGACAGTTCTCGAAAGCTCTTTCTCCAGTCTGGGCTCTTTTTAATGGGATATGCTAGGGGCACTTGTTCCAACTGGGCTCATGGCAAAAAGTCACCTTCTCCTCTAATGACAATATGCATTATCCAAGACATCATCCACATAGTTAATGGGAGTCAAGACTGAGTCACGGTGATTACAGGATATACAGGAAGTATAACACACATCATTGCTATCCTTAAAGAACAGGAAAGACAATGTCTACTACAATGACCAAGTTTCAGCTTGTTCAGAATTACCCACAAAGATGCTATATACATAAATGGAAGTGAACTTGAAAAAATACCTGGTGGGGCGTGGTGGTGCACACAAGTAATTCCAGGTACTTTGGAGGCTGAGGCAGGAGGTTTGAAAGTTTGAGCCAGCCTGAGCAACTCAGTGAAACACTGTCTCAAAATTTAAAATATTAAAAAGGCCAGGGTATAGCTTAGAGAGCACTTGCCTAGTATATGCAGGTCCCTGAGATCAATTCCCAGCACCAAAAAATTACCAAAAATAAAAGCCAAAGATGGTAACTCTCAAGTAGAAATAGTTTTTCACTATTTCCTGTCATTTGGATTAAAAAGCCTCTTCACTGAGTCAAATTGTACACAAACAAAAACTGTCACTTGCTTTTACTTCAGGCCCACCCCATTTTACTATGCTTTGGCCGTAGCAGTGAAACAAAAAAACCCTAACATACACGGAAAGGAAGTAAAAGTTGTCAAAGAAGTGTCAGATCTGAAGCAATACATAATCTGACATATACACAATAGTATGTAATTGTTAAAGAATAAAGGGGCACCAAAATCTGTGTACAGTGAGCTATTATTTTAAAAGACTTTGGAGGTTGTAATACTTAGCAATGAACACACTTGCTCTCAGAGAAACAGAATGATTTTTCACTGTATAAACAAAGAACATTAAGTGTATTTTTAAGGCACAAACTCTAGAATAGAATGATTAAACATCTCATACTCTACTGGCATGTTTTTTTTTTTTTTCCCTGACAAGTTTTTTCTCCAAAGAATATTAAGAATGCAAGAAAGATCTTATGAATATCCCTCACTGTAGACAATTACAATTATATTATGCCTCATAATACTAAGAAGGTTAAATGGGCCTTTTCAAAGCAAACATACCATAACTTCTGTTTTTGTAAATTCTGATTCTCAGAAGGAAAATCTTTTAAAGCTTCACAATATCATTTCTTGTACAGCTAATACTAGCTAAGAATACAATGCTCTAATATGTGGTTAAATGGCTTGGAAAGCAGAAGGTTAAGGACCTACTAGCTTTAAACTCACTTTTCCACAATAATTTTATACATATTTATGTACATACATAAGCTTTCAAACTTTTGGGATGTTTTGGTATTAAAGCAATTTTACAAATCTTTAATCAGACACACAGTCGGGAACTGAAATAAAAACAAGAAGGAAAAAAAAAAAAAGCAAACACAAATTTCCAAAATGATTTTGAGAATGCCCACAAGCTACATAACTACTAACATGAATTCAGGGTAGAATGACCAAAACAAAAGTACCTGGTCTTTTCTCAGCAGTCTAATGCCAAAACTTTAAAAGCTTCTTTAATGCTAGTAAACCTTAGCCTTTTTATTGATGGAGCTAAAAATTAGGGGGAAGGGGTGGGGAGAGGAAAAGAGAACCAACAGAGATCAACATTTTATTATTAATACTCATTCCTTTTATCTTATGCTTTGCTTTTATATAAATACAGACCACTTAAATAAATTACCTTATAAACTTATAATAAAAATATTTTGATTTAGTTTAAAAACCACAATAGCATTTGTTTGTGGTCAAATTAGCATTATACCCGCATTACCATATGCCCACACCTAGAGCCAAGAGAACTGGCTCACAGGAGTGTCTGCACGCAGATGGCTGTCATTCCTGGTGAGCACATGGTGGAGATGAGAGAGGCCAAACTTGAAGAATGCTGTCATTCTAATCACTTTTACTCCATTTTTTTACTATATCTTCTCTCTGACCACGAACACAGGAATCTTCTGCCCATCCTTGGGCTCCAAGACAACCTCCTGAAGTTGCCACCTAAAAAGCCAAAAGGATTGTCTCTTTAATCTACAAATCAGAAGCAAAATACGTGGTCCAAAAGTAATGGAGAAGGGATCAGTGTTAAGAATAATAATGTCTTGGGCTGGGATTATGGCTCAGTGGTAGAGCGCTTGCCTAGCACAGGCAAGGCCCTGGGTTCGATCCTCAGCACTATGTAAAAATAAATAAGTAAAACAGAGATATTGTGTCCAACTACAACTAAAAAAATAAAAGAACATGATTTTAAAAAGAAGAAGAATGTCAACATTTTTAAAACATAATTTTACATCAGTGCTGTGTTAACATCATGTTTTAACATTCTGCACTAGGCTCTCATTATTTAATCAAGGCAGGTTTATGGATCACTGACTGACAGGTGAATGGAAGGGGCATCAGGAAGGAGAGGGAGCAGCTTATTTCCCATTTCCTAATTCACATCAACCTTCAATTCCTGGCCTGGAATCCAGCCAGCTCCTCCACTAATCCCAGGCTCAGAGGTCAATGAGCCCAGGGTGAGGTAGGTGGGGGCTGCCTTAGGGCTGCCTGTTCCTTTTGTCCTCAGGAATTAAAACACATCCTGGCTAAACAGCAAACATCTCTGAGAGAGGCTTCCCGTGGGGGAAGTGAGTGGATGTAGCTATTGGCAACCAGACAAGAAAAGCCAATTAACTGGGTGGAGGGCTTATGCTGAGAATGTGATGAATAATTTTGGATTAGGACTCCATGCCTTTATTCGCTTATAATGACTGAGGCAGCAGAGTTAGAAGCTGGAACACAGCATCAAATTATTGTAGACTAAACCACTATAACTATCAAAACTAATTCTTATTACTGCCATCATTTAGCGACAAATGAATCAGGGTTGGTTTTTTTGTTGTGTTTTTTTTTTTTTTGTTTGTTTGTTTTTTGTTTTGTTTTCCATCAGGAGATTCTCTACTCCCCAACATCCTACCACTTTCCCATAACACCTTTGAAAGAGGGCAACTCTGGGTGATCCGGTGTAGAGATGGCCCTCTGACTTGGATCCAAAAACAGGAATTTTCAACAGTGGGTGTAAATTGTCAGAGAGGAGAAATGCAATTTGAGACATCATTATCATCTCAAAACTATCAAAACAGGGCTTCCTAGAGCCAGGTCTATAAAATCCAATGATTAGCTGCAGAATCAAGTTGTTTTCTAACAGCCCATCTGGAGAATCCAACTGTTTTTCCAAATGTTCTGCCCTCTTTACATGTTTTGGTGAGGTCAATGGCAGACCTTTCATTTGGCAAAAAAAAAAGTTTTTATACATCAAAATAATAAGATGAATTCATAAACAAAAATACAGCTAAGTGAATAGGCTTGGGATAAACAAGTAGATCAAAACGCTAAATGCGGACTACAAATAGCAGCTATTGGGTGTTCACAGTATAAGTTCTATCTTTTCTGAATGTTTGAAAATTTCTATACTAAAACAGGGAAGAAATAAGATAAAAATGAAATCCACTGTTAAACAGAGAAACTATTACCAGCAAATTTTGACCTGGACCATAAAGAACAGGCTTTAAGGAAAAAGAACTGTTGGACATCCACAGGGTCTGCATCTGGGAATTCAACCAACAGAGGATCAAAAATATTTTAAAAAATGCACAGACTTAAGCTGGAGATGTGGCTCAAGCTGTAACGTGCTCTCCTGGCATGTACGGGGCGCTAGGTTTGATCCTCAGCACCACATAAAATAAAATAAAGATGTTGTGTTCACTGAAAACTAAAAAATAAATATTAAAAAAAAAAATTCTCTCTCCCCCCAACCTCTAAAAAAAAAAAAAATGTACAGACTTGCAGGCTGGGGTTATGGCTCAGTGGTAGAGTGCTTGCCTAGCATTGGAGAGGCACTGGGTTCAATCCCCAGCACCACATAAAAATAAAAACAAATAAAATAAAGGTATTGTGTCCATCTACAACTACAAAAAAAAATTTTTAAAATGAACAGACTTGGGCTGGGGTGTGACTCAGTGGTAGAGCACTTACCTAGCAAGTGTGAGGCACTGAGTTTGATCCTTAGCATCACATAAAAATAAATAAAATAAAGGTATTTTTTTAAATACACAGAGTTTTGTCATTTCCTAAACAATAAGTATGACATTTATTTACACACTGTTTACATTGTGCTAGTTATAGGTAATCTATTGACAATTTAAAGTAAATGAAAGGGTGTGCATAGTTTATATCCAAATACAGCTAATCCTTGAACAACAAATGTTTGTGCAGTGGAGGTCACTCATATTTGGGCTATTATTTTGGAGAGATCTTTGACAATTAAAACAACTTGTAGAAGCTAATAAACTCCATAGCTTAGAAATATTTTTAAAAATTAAGAAAAACATGTCATGAGTGCATAAAATATATGCAAATAGTCTATTTTATAATTTACTACCATAAAATATACACAGATATATTATAAAAAGTTAGAATCTATGGGCTAGGGATTTAGCTGAGTGGTAAAATGCTTACTAACATGCACATGGCCCTGGCTTGATCCCTAGCAGCACTCCCCACAAAAGTTAAAATTTATCAAAACTTATACAAACAGACCTGTACATGGTGCCATTTGCAGTTCAGAGAAATGTAAACAGTTGTAAAGACGTAGTATTAAATCAACTGCATAAAATTAACTATAGTACTAGACTACTGTAATAATTTTTGTGGCTACCACCTCTTGCTGTTGCAGTGAGCTTCATGTTGCAAATATCTGCTTAAAATGCCCTATGATGCTAATCATCTCCATGTGAACGGTCTCTGTCCAGTAAATTGCATATTGCAGTAAAAAGTGATACCACAAGGTTTTGAGCATTTTCACCAAATATAATACATACAACATATAAAATATATGTTAAATTGACTAGGTTATTGATAAAGCTTCCAGGCAACAGCAATAAAGTTTTGGGGGTGTCAAAAGTTATATGTGGATTTGTGACTGCATAGGGACCCTAACCTCTATGTTGTTTATTGGTCAACTATATCACACCATTTTATATAATGAACTTTAACATCTGCAGATTTAGGTATTTTGGCAGGGTGTAGAGGGAAGTCATGGAGCCAATCCCCTGTGGATACTGAGGGATGACTTTACTTTTATCATAACACTGTAGTATGAGTTTCTTTTGTAGTTAAAACATTCCATTAAAGCTATTTCCATTAAAAACAATAAAAAACATTGCAATGGTACATGTCTGTAATCCTAACAATTTGGGAGGCTAAAGCAGGAGGATCATAAGTTTGAGGCCAGCCTGGGCAGGTTAGAGAGACCCTGTCTCAAAATAAAAATTGGGCTGTGGTGTACCTCAGTGGTAAAATGATAAAGTAAGCCTGGGTTCAATCCCCTGTACCACAAAAAACAACAATACAAATAGCTGGGGATGGTGGTGCTTGCCTGTAATCCCAGCTACTTGGAAGGTATACATAAGAGGATCACAAGTTCCAGAACAACATGCACAACTTTAGTGAGACCCTGTCTCAAATAAAAAAAGGGATGGGTATTTAGCTCAGTGGTACACCACTTGCCTAGCCCTGGGTAAAATCCTCAGCACCACAAAAAAAAAAAAAAAACATAAAGTAGGTCAGATCATCTCACTCTTATCCTCAGAATACTTAACAGGTTTCTGCTGCCAAAATCAAGTGTGCACACCTTACTTGATGTTTCAGCTCTTCACTTGCCGCTACCCGTCCTATTCTCAGCAACCCATGCCTTCATAGCAAGGGGACACTGATACAACACACCAATGACATGCCTTCATATGCACACTGCTCCTTGTCTGACATTCTTTTTCCACCTTTCAAAACCTCCACAACAATCCCTAGGTCCTCTAACTGCTCCCACTCCGGCCCTGTATCTCAGCAGCAGTGTTTCTTTCACCCTGTCTTATTCTAGAATGTGAACCTGTGACTTCCCCAAGTGCCTTCCACATGTCTGCATGTCTGTATGTCTGCTTCTCCATGTAGGTTAAAATCATTCCTCCGACCAGAGCATGAACTCAAATGAATTTGTTAAACAGAAGAACAAATATATTTTATTTTCAAGTGAGTTTTTACCAAGCTGAACTACACAAAAAGTAAGATTTAGATCAAAAGAATGGATAAGCATTATGGAAGCAATGTAAATAAACTTTAAAGGTTAAAGAGCTGGTTACATCTGAATGAGGGCTAATATAGATATAGTTTAAATTCAAAACCAAAGTTGTGGCAAACCACTACTGATCATTCTCTACCTTCAGTCTATGATGGCACCGTTAGCACACCTGCTATATCCCTACCACATCACTTCTTCCAGAGAAGAAGAAAAAATGTAGAAAATAAATTAGTCCACAATAAATCAAAAATATATTTTACATAAATATAATATTTAAGATCCAATATTTAAAATAAAAACTTTTTTTAAGGTGCTAAGCCTAATGGCCATCTTACTTAGTGAACTTTGCCATGCCAGACCCTTAACTCCAGCTTCCTTTATAAGCCTCTTTCCAGGTGACACAGTTCCCGCCTCTCCCTCTTCCTAACCCCGCCTCTCCCTCTTCCTAACCTGTTCATAGAGAGAGCCTATTACCCAGGCAACAGTAATGTCCACAAAGTTGTGCTTGCTGGGGGGCTGGAGGTAGTGAACATGGAGGGGAGTGCTCAGAGAGCTTCCAGTACCTCAGGGTGACTGTGTAGCTGCTCCAACAGCATTTGATAAAATGAAGCCCTGGAAAAACCTTCTAGATAGGAAAGACACATGTTATTTTTTTCTTTCTTAAACTTGGTCAGACAGAATATCTCTGTAGAAAGTTAAATAATACAACTGATAGAATGGAAACGGAAATGTGAAATTTGAAGATGGAAGAATAATTAGGGACCATATACTCTAAACTGTCCATTTTACATACTCAAAAGGCGATATTTACAGAGATGTGCAAGGTCATCTGAACCTTTCTATGCCTTGACTTCTTCTCTCCCTCACCTCATTCACTGCCTCATTTCCCTTCAACTAAGGGGTTTGATCAGCTCTTCTTTAAGTTTCTTCTCAGTTCTCAAGTCCTATGATTCTGTAACTTGCTCAAAGTGACACAGTTCCGGAAAACAGGGTCCCAAATCTGTAATAGCTGGTTTCCAAATATTGCTGCTTCCACTAAAATGAGCTATAAAGTAGACCACAATATTCACAACAAAAACCTTGGGCCAAGATATGGCATGGAAATGCTCATTTGTCAAGTTTACAGACTTGAGCCAACATTTCAAGCAGAACTGCTCTAACACTCAGGAACCCTTCTTAGCCAGAAGGCTACTGGGAACCTTCAGAAGCATCTCCCTGAAGGGATAAAGTGCGAAGAAGGAAGAGAGCAATTGTAGGCTTCCTAAGTAGGGTGTTTGGTTTGGCAACAAGAAAGAACTTTCCTCCTATAAGTTCAACCACAGTAATGAAGGAGGCATGAGCATGGAGAGGCCAAAGATTATACCCCTGCTGCTGCTTCCCAGGAATGGAGCTTCAAGCATGACCAAGGCGCCAGCCATATTAGCAAAAGGAATAGCAGAGGCTTCATGCAGAAAACTAGTCTTTTTTTTAATATTTATTTTTTAGGTGTACTTGGACACAATACCTTTATTTTATTTATTTTTATATGGTGCTGAGGATGGAACCCAGGGCCTCGCACATGCTAGACGAGCGCTCTGCCGCTGAGCCACAACCCTGGCCCCAGACAGCTAGTCTTTACTGAGTGATTCCTATGGTGAGAAACTGTTCTCAACATTTCATATTTTCATAATCCTCTATATCTCTACTCACAGGTTCTACAACTCAATTACTTCTCACAACCATTTTATTCATACTGATATTGCTCTTCATTACACAGAGAATGTAACTAAGCCCAGGGAAGTTTCCCCTGTAAAGCTGCACAGCTAGTCAAGAGCTGGATCTGGGATTCAACCAGGGTAGCTAGGAGCCCAGACCTCACTACCCAGCTGGGCTCCATTAGCCAACTCCAGCTTCCTAAGGGGGAGAGACTGTCCCATCAGAAGGCTGAAACCTGACCGGAAAATGCACCCATTCCTGTTGAGTCCTGCCCCCATTCTTTAGGCAGAGGGGAGAGGAGGCCAAGTTATGTTACAGTCTGAATCATTCCTGGGCTCATCTCGGGCCACCTCCAGACTCAGGGACTTGACCAACTTTGCAGACAGGTAAAGAATGGGTGGAGAAGACACTGTGCCCTGTGTGCTTGTCTGCTGGTGACACACTCACGCCCTGTAAAGAAGTGAAAAGCTGCAGAGTCAGATTGAGAAGCCAAGCTGGGAGGAATAAAGCAGCATCAAAACAGTCAGTCCAGGACAAAAATGCTACTGCTTTGCCTCGAGTAGCATTGAAATGACCTTAAATGTCTTGGCTGCTGAGGATAATTGTGGCCTGTCTTTACAAATTCAAATTTGGGTGCAGTGAGGCTGGAAGCTGCATCTATCAGGATTTTGCCTCTGTTGGGATTTTGCCATCCTGGACTCTGTTTTATTTCCTGCTCCTGCCAGCATATCTTACTCAAGATCCCCTCCTCCACTCAGTCAACAGCAGAGAATGGCAGGCCAGCAGCCTGGCCACACTGGAGAAGTAGCCACAGTTTTCCCCACCTGTGAACCATCTGGTCTTCCTCTTCTCTCTGTTCTTTCTTTATATAATCTCAGAAATCTTGATGGATGCCCTGTGTGTGCACTGAAGTGAAAGCCTATCTTACTTTGCAAGGCTTCTTATGCAAATGAATCCTAGTCCTTTTATTTGTACTGTGGCTCCTGGAAAAAGGAGGATTATAGGATAAGAAGCAAGCTTTAGCCAATGTAATGGTGGACTGGCTTCTAAAATTGTCCTCTCCTCCTTTCTCTAATCGGCCCGAAAGCATCTCAAGTATTTCCTTTGATAGAGGAGCAGGACCACCAGAACTAGGAAGCCATGCCTCAGGCAGCTCCCTGGATACTTATTTTGTATAAGGTAATAAAAAAAGAGGACAGGTCCCTGCCCTCAACACACTGGTGTAAAGGAACATTTTTTCCCAGAGGCTTTGGGCATCCTGCTTCCTGGAGACTTAAAAACAAAAGATACAAATTTATTATAAGATTCTGTTCTGTGCCAAGAGCCTCTGCCTGGATTGGGCCCCACAGGAAAAGGGAGAGCTAAAAGGAGAAGCCAGCAAGGATGCAAGGTCACCCCCACACCCCCCTTGGCTTCCTTCTGAATGCCAGAGCCAGTTCTGGAGCCAAAGTTAAGTGCCCTCCCGAGGGTGCCCTCCCGAGGGTGGCCCTCATCCAGAACCCAGCCATGGGGGCGCCCTGCCATCCCCACCCAGCCAAGTACAGAGTGGGCATTCAGCCTCACCATGCTGACAGACAGAACCTGGCCTGTGTGCCAACCCCAGCACAGCCAGGAAGTACAACCACTTTGTCTCAGGCCCACTGGTAAACAGGAAGCTTATCCTTTTGTGGCACTAGCTGGTCTTGTAAGGCTTCAAATGGGCCAGAGCTGTCACTGGCTTCTTTCTTTCATTTTTTTTTTAAATGCCCCACCCCCCTGGATGAGGAAACTTTGGTTCTGACTTTTGGGCTGAGTACACAGATGGAGTGGTGCCAGCTTAGCAAATACAGACATAAGATCCACCCTGGCATTAACTCCCGTCCCCAGAAGGCCTGGGTGGGGCTGGGAACAGCACGTGGGCCTTGATGGAGCCAATTCTCTTCCTTTTGGTAACCATGTAATCACTGATCACCCCAGCCTGAGCCTTGAGCCTTTCTGGAAAGCTATAGAGGATACCTGGCATTAAAACAGAAGGAGGGCTGGGGTTGTGGCTCAGTTGTAGAGTGCTCGCCTAGAACGTGTGAGACCCTGGGTTCGATCCTCAGCACCACATAAAAATAAATAAGTAAAACAAAGGTATTGTGTCCAACTACAACTAAAAAATAAAAAATAAATAAAATTAAAAAACAGAATGAGACAATGACTATAGGGAACAGGACAGGACAATTCAAAAGCCTATAGGGTCAGACAGATCACATTCAGGAGATCAGATACTGCAAAACTGAGGCCCACCCAACCCATCCAAGAAGACAGCTTTTACCTGGCTCTACGTGACTGTGGCTATGTGGGCCAAGTCTCAATGAATCTTTACATTTTTCAAAAGGTGCCAGGAATCAGTTCTTTTATGTGAAACTGCCTGAATTCTAAATGTTGACAACCACCACCACCAACAACAACAACAACAAAGACCTAACAAAATACACTTGTGGGTCAAATCTTTCTGTGGGCTTTTGGTTTCCTTTGGCTGCCAGGGCACCCTTACCCTAGGTGAGATTTAGGGAAATCACTCTTTGTCTTGGCTGACATTTCTTCAAAAAGGAAGGTGATTTTAGATAGAGATGGAAATGCCAGCTTTAGATAAAGAAAACGAAAACTCATAAGTATGTGTGCCTCCATAGGAAGATTTAATCTTAAAATTAATTGTTCTTCTTTAGGAAACAAAGTCTTTGATGTGACTTAAAGAGGTTAGAGGCACTGCAGCACAGGATTAGGTATAATGCTAGATCTGTGTCCATGCCCTCCACCCCCATTCTACTGGGGATTGAACCCAGGGGTACTCTACCACTGATCTATATCCTCAGACCCTTTTATTTTTTACTTTGAGAAAGGATCTTACTAAATTGCCCAGGTTGGCCTCAAACTTACAGTCCTGGTTCAGCCTCCTGAGTCACTGGGATTATAGGCATGCACCACTGCACCTGGCTCTGGCTAGATATGTAAAGCAGGCTGAACACATTTTCACAATTTCTTCCACCTTCCAGAATATGGAGAGTAATAACTGTCTACCTATCACTTCTGAAACCCTAAAGGTAAATGAATCCATAGACATCCTGTTGGAGAAATTCATCATGAGGATATTCTTTCTGAGAACTGATAATTAAACATGTCCTCGGATGGGGCTAGAATTGACTAGTTCTATAAAGAATCATAAATTGAACAAATTAGAGAGGATAAAGTTTTAGATCATCTTTGTATTATTTACTAGTATGCTGTTGTGTTCAACTAAGAAAAGGCTACTGAAACTCCAGACAGATATATATGCTGAACTTTGGCCGAGTGTTGTATAGTATGTAAGAATATTTACTGAAGTTGAGTGTAAAGTCAATTACAGTAATGTCATCTGGGAAAGGCCATTTAGTTCTCATAATGAAAATGGTCAGAGCATCTCCAAAGAATGTATTAGTCAGACTTTGCTTAATCTGAAGAGAACTCAACTGGGTGGAGCCGCCGGATTGAGGTCCACCAAGCTTTCCACTGTGCCACAGTTTGTGAAAGCCAGCTAAGACACCAGGGAAAAATATATCTGAAACAAGGCAGAAAACCTCCACCCAACTCTCATGTGAAGTTACAGCCACAAGTGAACACTAAAGATAGGAAGAAACCCACAGCTATTCGATGAGTGACTTTTGTTTACAGTCTAACGAATAATGCCCTGGTGGGTTCTGATGGAGAACTTTGCCCCCAGAACATCCCATTACCTTTTCTTTTCTTTCTTTTTACTTTTTTAATTTTTTTAGTTGTAAATGGACACAATATCTTTATTTTATTTATTTATTTTCATGTGGTGCTGAGGATCGAACCCAGGGCCTCCTACGTGCCAGGCGAGCACTCTACTACTGAGCCACAATCCCAGCCCGGACACAATGTCTTTTTATGTATTTATTTTTATGTGGTGCTGAGGATGGAACCCAGTGCCTCACACCTGTGAAGCTAGCATTGGACCACTGAGCTACAGCCCCAGCACACCCCATTACCTTTTGCTATTTTGTAGCACAACTCTCTTGAAAATCCTCAAAGGAACATCGCCCTGCAATGAAAAAAGATTTTATATTAAAATCATGTTTTCAAACAAAATTCTCTGTGGGTTCTAGCTTCATACAGTCAAGATTATTGGGGTTGGGGTGTAGCTCAGTAGTGTTTGCCTAGCATGAGAGAGGCCCTGGGCTCAATCCCCAGCACCACCAAAAAAAAAAAAAGAGAGAGAGAGAGATTTATTACCAGCCCAGACTTAGAACAAGAAGTTAAATTTAAACCCTAAAACAAACCTTGCCTGTAAAGGGCCCTGGTTTGTCCCATTTCTCTTCTGCCAAATTAGGAAGAAAAGAACAAAGCCTGATGGTTTCCTGTCGGTGTACTCTGTACCTTTTATTACAGCAACCAGAAAAATCAGTGTGGGCGGCCGAGGGGTACACAGCGGCAGGTGCTTTGACCACAGCACAAATGTGGGGCCAAGCAGCAGGTGGTTGGTAGAACTGAAGAAACTAGAGGTTTGCAGTATTGGCTGCAAATTAAAAACTACCTTCTTTTAAGGAGCTGGGGGAGGGAGGCGCTCAGTGGTAAAGCACTTGCCTAGCATGTGTGAAGCCTTGGGTTTGATCCCCAGCACCACAAAAAAAAAAAAAAATCAGCTTTTCGGGGTTAAGATGAAACAATAGTAGAGTACAGTAAACCTATACATGGACTTTAACAATATTGATAGTAACAGAAAACACATTTCTTACTATGATATACCTAAACATTTTATACAAAATAATTTATTTGATTCTCACCACCACCCCATAAAGTGTAAATCATTATCACCCCATCTTACATGAGTAAACTGAGGCATAGAATTTAAATAATAAACCTAAACACAAATAACTGAGACTTGAACTCAAGTAGTCTGGCTCCCGGGTCTCTGCTCTGAAACACCAAGGTACGTTAAGATGTCTGATTACAGAAGTATTAGAATATGGGAGAAAAGGTATTTATAATTTATCTATGATATGAATTGTATTGCATTCTGCTGTCATTTATTTTTAAAAAATGTAATCGTATGTATAAAGCCAATTTAATGAGATGTTGGACAGAATGCTTTCACTAAAACAAAAAAAAAGATGGTTACATTGAAAAAAAATTATCTAGATTTTTTTTTGTGTGTGTGTGTGTATGTGTGTGTGTGTGTGTGTGCATGGGATACGTGCTGGGGATCAAACCAAGGTCCTCATACATGTTAAAGAAAAACTCTACAACTGAGCTATGCCCTAAACCCCTCAAAATATTTATAGGAATATGCTTATTATTGATCATTTCAATTCAAAAATACTCCTTTCTCAGAGCTGCCAATCATGCAATCTCTTATGAGCCATTTTAACAGTAACACTGAAACTTCTGTATAGTGATACAGGAATTTCCAAAAATGAAAAAGGCTTCAGAACTTGCCAGCAAAACACAAGAAGCATGAGTAGGGTAGGAACTCACAGATAAAAATGAGAGCAGGAAACTGTATAACCTACCCTTACTGAGTATGTTCCATGATGATGCAAGAAGGGCCTGTGATAAGGACTCAGAGATATAATTGCTTTTGTCTGAAGAATGTGTCCTTTAGGAATGGGATACATGGTACCTAACTGCCCCAAAGCCAACTAGGGTTTTTTTTTCATATTTTTTTATTGGTGCCTTATATTTGTATATATTGGTGGGATTTGTTGTTACATACTCATACATGCAAACAATATAATATGGCCACTATCATTTCCCAAAGCCAACTGTTTTTCAACTTCTTGCCAATATAATGATGTCCAGAGGTATCAAGGAGCAAACAGGCAAGCAGACAAGCTCAATGTTTAGCTCTGCTGCCAGATATAGTGGTATACACCTGTAATTCTAGTGGCTGGGAAGGTGAGGCAGAAGGATTGAAAGTTCAAAGCTAGCCTCAACAACTTAGCAAGGCCTTGGGCAACTTAGTAGAACCCTGTGTCAGAAAAAAAAATTAACAGAATGGGGAAGTGGCTCAGTAGTTAAGCACCCCTAGATTCAATGCCTGGTATAAAATATATATATATATATATTTATATATATATTTATATTTATATTTATTTATTTATTTATTTATATATATATATATATTTTATATATATATATATATTATATATATATATAGAGAGAGAGAGAGCTCCATTAAAGATGGTCTGCATCCAGAGGTTTCCCACTTGGTTTTCTATGACTTGTTGGTCCCCCATCTTCTATTTTGCTGTTTTTCCTTTTCTTCAGTCCCTGCTTTTTCTTAATATCACTAACCTTGTTTTCCACACTGATGCTTCATAGCGTCTATATTCATCTGGATCTGCAAGTTTGCTCCAATCAAATCCACCATCATAATCATCATCACTCCCATCCAGAAAGGCTTCACCACCACCTTTGGCATTTATCTCTCTCTGGCTTATCTTCTAACTCCCCCCCCCCCCCTTTTTTTCATCTTTTCTCCATTTTTCCATCATGATGTTTTGTCTTCATTTTCTTCCTGTATTCTTCTTTGTCAAATCTGTCCTCTTCCTGAAGCCTTTCTTTTGCTTTAACTAAGCTGATATCACCAGTGTCATCTTCTGCACCTGTGGCCAACTCACCTTCATCAGTAAACATAGTATTCTTCTTCATGTTAAAATTTCTCATCATTATTTTCTTCTTCTGTGAATTTTTTTCCTTTTTTTAGTTGTAGATGGACACACAATTCCTTTGTTCTATTTATTTATTTGTTTATTCATTTATATGTGGTACTTAGGATGAAACCCAGTGCCTCACACATGCTAGGCAAGCTCTCTACCACTGGTTATAACCCCAGCCCAATTACTTTTTTTGTCGACACTGGATTTAGAAGATTCTTTCTTGATTTCAGAGTTTTTAGTCCAAGTTCACTGTAGTAAAGCATAACATCATGGCAGAGAGGGTATGGCAGAGCAAAACTGCTTAATTCTTGGTGGTTAGGAAGCAGAGTTCAAAATATATTACACCCCACCTCCACCCCGAACTGGAGGTGTTGAATCCACCCCTGGTGCTCTATCACAGAGCTACATTCTCAGTCTTTTTTATTTTTTTATTTTGAGACAGGGTCTCACTAAATTGCCCAGCCTAGCCTTGAACTTGCAGTATTCCTGTCTTAGGCTCCTGAGTTTGTGGGATTACAGGCATGCACCACCATGCCCAACCTCAAAATATGAGTCACATTCCCATCCTTTTTTGTGTGTGTGTGTGTGCGTGTGCGTGTGTTTTATTTAGAGACAGAATCTCACTAAGTTGCTTTGCACCTCGCCATTGCTGAAGCTGGTTTTGAACTCGTGATCCTCCTGTCTCAGCCTTCCCAGCCACTGGGATTACAGGCGTGTACCACTGCGCCTGACTTCAAAATATATTCTTAATGGCCAGTGTAAAAGGCCTTGACAGGCATGCCTTTTCTGTTATTTTTTCAGGCAAGAGTGTGGGAACATGTCTGTACCATTATTATTATTATTATTACTACTACTACTTAGCAAATGGATACTGAGGGCCTGGTCTGGTGAGGCAATAAGAATATACAATAATATCAAAAAACGAATGTTCTCCTTGATCCTAAGGGGCATAGAATCGAATATTTACAACACAGATAGGGCCATCAGGTACAACTAACAAGATGCCAGTCACACTGTAAACATCATAGATTTATCTTTATTAAGATGGTGGGTGTCTTTTTCTAATTCATATAAAGGTGCCTATGAGCTAGCCGCAGTCAGGTTCATGCAAGCAGACATGTGCAACACAAAAGGAAGTAACACCCAGGAAGTGGTTGATTTACTGGAGAGGATCAGCAAAGCTTTCACAGGGGAAGTTTGTCCTGAGCAGAGAAAGGCAAAGGGAGAGATAGAAAGGCTTCAAATCAGCGGAAATGACAAAGGCAGAGCAGGCAGAAACAAGGGCTGAAGAAGTATGAGGAACAGGAGGGGAGCCACAGAATGGGTCTGGAAACAGTAGGTAGCAGGGAGTGTGGTTACTACTAAGACACTCTCCTTGAGCTGCTGCACTTAACTCTGCAGGTAAGAGGCTACAGAAAACTCTCTCTGGATCAGAGACATGCACAGACTGGGGGTTAAGAGGCAAGGCAGCAGGACCAGCCAGGAGGTCTCAGTGACAGACAAAACCAAGAGCTAGGACCAGAGTCAAAACCATGATCAAAAGGATGATTTCTAAAAATATTTAGGGATAGTTCTTATTTAATAACTTTTACAGTAGCTCATTCCCAAAAGGATGATGGAACTAACAGAGATGCATACTTTAGAAAAGAAGAAAATAATTGCATGAGGAAATAAAGATAAATGGAAAATAATTTTAAGAAAAGCTGGGGCAAATTTAATGCACAAACATAAGTACTGTCAGGCATGAGACATTTCCTGAAGAGGGCACATTTGTGACACTGAGCGTCTTATCTGCTAAGCAGAATGGGGAGCCTAAGTAACTACAAAGAGTGTCGGGGTAAGGCAAACTAGTGGCTGAGGAGGAAGAGAAACAGTTCCTAACAATACATGAAGACTCATAAAAACCTCTCCCTGGAGTGCTCAGAAAGAGCAATTCTCTAAGCAGCTGGGGTGTTGAAAGCAACAATCCTGAGAACTAAAACCAAAAACGTTCCCAACTTTCAAAGGACTATTTTTTTTTTTTAACAACATCCAATAGTGAAAGACACAATCATACTCCCAGGAAAAAAACATAAACCACATTTCACAAATGCCCCAAAGAGCAAGGAGCCTGTGTAAAGTTCTCAGTATGACCTCTGGATGGAGAGTTCCAGCGGCAATCATTGACTGGGCGCATAAGGAGTATTGGGGGGTTGGGGTGTGCAAGTATGGGCAGGAAGGGAGGCTCAGCCCTTGCTCCTTTTTAACCAGCTTCTGTTTATCTGCCCCAATAGCTATATCCTGAAGAGTAAATAGGCCCCTGCTCACACATATATGCACAAAAATTAAGGCACTGTAGAGAAACAAAAATTGACTGTTTCTTTAAAAATGCTTAAATGACAAAATAAAATCATATATATTTGTGGCATGCAATGAGGTGTTCTGATATATGTATACATTGTGGAATTCATTACCTCCAGGAATGCTCCATTTTAAAACTGTTTCTGATTAAGAATTGAAACCTAAACAGTGTGATATGAAATTTTCTGCAATAAATTCAATAGCCTACTAACTAGCCAAATAAGGACAGATTTCTTTGTTTTATGGTTAGACAAAAGGAAAGGACTCCATCCATGTTAAAAATCAAGGAATCTCCTAGCCTCAGGAAGGTAGAACAAAATACAGACCAAGGTCTCCCAAAAAGTAATCCCAGCAGTATGGGATGGCCCACACCTTTAATCTCAGCTACTAAGGAGGTATGTTCAGGGTCAGTCTTGGCAACAGTCTCAAAATAAAATTTTTAAAAAGGGCTGGGGATGTAGCTCAATGC